TTTATATATCTTGGTGCTCCTGTGTTGGGTGCATATACATTTATAAACTTATATGTTCTTGCTGGATTGACCCCTTTATCATTATGTAATACCCTTATCTGTCTTTTATTACAGTCTTTGTTTTAAAGTCTACTTCATCTGATATGAGTATGGCTATATTGGCTTTATTTTCATTTCCTTTTGCATGGAATATTTTTTTCCATCTCTTCACTTTTAGTCTGTGTGTGTCCTTACTTCTGAAGTGAGTCTCTGTAGGCGTAATATAGATGGATCTTGTATTTTTATCCATTCAGCCACTCTATGTGTTTTGATTGGTGAATTTAGTCCATTTACATTTAAAGTCATTAATGATAAGTATATACTTCTTGCCATTTTGTTTACTGTTTTCTGACTGTTTTTGTAGTTTCTCTCTCTTTCTCTTTTCTTCTTTTTCTCTCTTTCTTTGTGGTTAGATGGCTTTCTCTAGTTTTATGTTTAGATTCTTTTCTCATTTTGTGTATTTAAGTTTTTTCCTTGTGGTTACCATGAGGTCACATAAATACCCTATGTAAATAGCAGTCTGTTTTAAGTTGATAGCAACTTAATTTAAAACACATTCCAAATTTTTCCCTTTTTATTTCCTCCTTCATCCCCACATTTTATATATAAATGGTGATGGATGGTAACTAGACTTGTGGTGGTGATCACTTTATATAGCATATACAGATGTGAATTATAAAGCCGTATACCTGAAACTTATATAACTTATTTTAAAAAGTTGTTACAGGGGCGCCTGGGTGGCTAAGTCGGTTGGGCATCTGCCTTTGGCTCAGGTCATGATCCCAAAGTCCTGGGATTGAGTCCCACATCAGGCTCTCTGCTTGGTGGGGAGTCTGCTTTTCCCTCTCCCTCTGCCTGCCACTCCCCCTGCTCATACTCTCTCGCTCACTCTCTCTCAAATAAATAACTAAAATCTTTAAAAATAAATAAATAAAATACTTCCACCCTGATGGTAGGACCAAGGGAATGGCTCATGCTGTTTTCCCCAGAAAAGAAAAGCCCTGCTGGTATACCTCAAAAAATGTGCTAGCACTCACTGGGTTAACAGTCTTTTTTGTGCTTTTGATGAATACAGTCTCCATTAAATGTCTGAAAGCCAACTGTTGTGATCTTCAGAAGAAGTAAAAGCTTTCTAGATTTTATCAATTTGACAGGTGAAGCACATCTGCTACAATCAACCATTTTTTAGTATGTTAGTCTCACCACACAACTTTAGAAGCACATCTTCCTTCTTTTTAAATTAGTTTATTGGTGTTCTAATGCCAGTTGACTGAACAAAGATTCTGGCAACGTCTCTGATATGTTATAAAATTCTCATATGAAGTAGTAGTTTTGGAGGCAAAAAAACACTGGTTTAGCTGCCAACACTTCCAGGAAATCCCTTTATGTTACTATATTTATGTAACCTTTGTGTCCAAAAACTAAAGGACCAATTAAAGAGTATCTTCCTTGTATTGCTAATTATGTCATACTTTACATACAAAGAGGTCAATTAATAGGCATCTACTACAGTGATTTTTGTACAACATGGTACAAAGAAGAAAGCATATTTCAAAAGAATCCCAGAGCTGTAACGTTCATCACAGATCTTAGTTTGCCTGAGTCCTTCTATGTTGCACAGCAGTAGTAGCTTAATATTCCAGGGCATGAGGAGTTATAAACCAAGGTACAACTCTTTCTTGAGTTTCTCAATTGTTGCAGGAAAGAGAGAATGCGCATGGGGAAGGCGCCGATCAAGCATAAAGAATGCCCAGACATATAAATTACAATGGAAAATGAGAAAAGGTTTAGAAAAGATTTGACAATTCTTTTGATGTTTATATCATTAGCCCTGGAGATTCTATTTTCATTATCAAAAAGTATTCATGAATGTTCATTGAATTTATGGTCTTATTCAAATTTGCTTCAACACCTAATGGGCCTTTGCATCATGTTTGTCTATTTCAAGTGTTTGATGAGCTTGATTAAAAAACACACACAAAAACAAAAATAAAAAATCAATCACAAACCAAAGAGTTCATGATCATTGATAGGAGGTACATCTTCAAAGTGTTTTCTCTGTACCCTAACATTATGATTGAACTGAATACCTTGTACTCAATTTGATCATTTGATGAAAAGCTTTGGGCCCTATTTAAGTGTTGTGGTATAGCCTAAATATTATCCAACTTCTTACACCTAGATCTCTTCTAGAGAAAGGGAAAAAAACAATTGGTGGTTTTCATTCAGAAATTTTCAGAACTCAAATTATCCAGATTTTGAAGCTGATGATGACCAGCTAATGGCATACTCTTGGAATCCATTAGGTATTTACTTTTCTACTTCAACTTAAATCCATGCCATGCATTCCTGTTGGCCAAAAACCTGAACACAAATTGCCCAGGGAAATGTCTCCCATCTTTGTGCTCCAGTTAAAACCTATCCATCTCATAATTTTACTGCTGCCATAAAAGGAAATTTGTGTGTGACTTTTTTCCCATTGTAGCTGTCAAGAGCCTCTCTCTGTTTATTGAAACTCTGGAGAGTTTATTGAAATCCTGCTCTTGCCCTTTCTGTCCTTGTTTCTTTGGCACCACGGGTACAGAACACACTAGAACCACGACTGCCAGAAGTGGGTTGCTGGCTGGGTTCAGCAGTAATGGAAGCTCCAAGTAGAGCAAAATCACAGGGCCAAGCTCCACAGGTAGAGTTCACAGTTCATAAAGCCATTGTCTAAACACAATCTCATTTTGGCCCAGAGGATATGGGATAGATTGGCTTCGTTTTTGTGTGTTTCTCTATAACTAGGATCTATATAATCTGATAAAATCCAGAGAGAAAATTTTGCCTAGTGGGATTTCTTTTAAATTGTGTTTGCCGGGAGATGCGCCAGACCGAAGTCCTTTCTTCCGAAAATTTTGCCTAGTGGCATCTCCCTAGTGGGAGATGCGCCAGACCGAAGTCCTTTCTTCCACAGTGGATTCAGTGCAGGCAGCAGCACGCTGACCTTTCCCACCCTCTTCATTCACACGGTTCTAAGGAGAGGACCCACTTGTGTTCCCGGTGCTCATTCAGCCCTCAGCTGCTCTGCTGAGCCTACCAATTAGTGTTAATAATTGTGGCCAGAGTGTAAGGTCTGGATGGATTCATTTCAGGAGCTAGACTACTAAGAAGGCATCTGGTAGAACATGGAGGAGGCAATTGCACGAGGCTATATAATAGCCCAGGGGAGTGAGAGCTTCAAGTTTGGAAACTTCCTCTGTAAAAGGCTTTTCATGTTATATCAATCAACTCATTCAATTTGCCTCAAATTTTATTTGCTGCAATTGGAATAGCATAACAAGGCCAGGCATTTGTTTATGAAATTTCAACAACTGATTCGTTTTCCAAAAAATACTCAAAAATACTCATAGACATTTAAAATTCTATCCTGCTATCTATCAGATAAAAACTCTGAGAAGCTAATAATCCATTCCATTTGTTCTCACCCTACCACTAAGATGTGTTTAGTAAAGAATAGCTATAGATCAATAGTCTTTTAAAGATGATGAGTTCCAGGCCCAGTAAGATGCAGTAATTTGCTTTAGGTTAGGTGAACAGTAGGATCACTGGACTAGAACGCTCAGGGTGAAGGGAGCAAGGTAGAGTCATTAAGTGCATGGGCTTTAGCACCAGCCTTGTCTGGATTCAAGGCTCACCTGGCTGACTTTGAGCAACCTACTTAACTTCTCTATGCCTCAATTTCCCTTTCCAAAACAGAGCTAATAGGAGTTTCTCACTTACAGGTTTGCTCTGAAGACTAGATGAGCTAATGTATGCCACATACCTAGAACAATACCTGATATGTGCTATGTAAGAGTTTATTAAACATAAAATGCAGTGGGATGGTAAAGACCTTCTGTTTTGCTCCTTATCTACTTACATGATCTTAAAAAATGTTTCTTTGAAACTAATTTGCACAACATTCCTGGGATGTTGGGTAACTACTGGAGACCCAGGGTCGGGTCTGCCTGCTTGTCAGATGCACTGTGGTGGAGTTGTGACTTGTAAAGCACATTGCATAGTTCCCCATATCCACTACCAGAACTTATTGCTCATCGTAATTACAACACACTTTTCATCACCTGGTGTTAACGAGTATCATTTCATCTTTTGATCAGTGTTTTTGCTTCCAAAGATGGATTTGTATTTTTGAAATTTCAATTCAAAAGGAAAATAAGCTCCTCATTCAGCACATATATTATGTAGATGTGACAATTATAGAGCTATAAAGAAGCATGCATACATGTTTAATGTGCAAATTACATGTGAGAGGTAACTCACAGGGGTCCAAACCTCCAGTTTCAAGACTCATAACAGAAACCAATGAAATATTTATGGGAGGAAGGAACAGACATCACATTTACATATGCCTATTCCGTGCTCGCTTCGGCAGCACATATGCATATACCTATTCTATCATGAACAGGCAATTTACACACACATTCACACACACATGTTCATATATTTCTCTATATAAAACATGACACTCCTGCTTCCTTTGTACTGTACAATGACAAATAGTCTTTCAAATGAAACATCACAGGAAAAAATTGTGGAATTACTAGGTCATACTTGAAGAGTATAATCAGGCTCTGCATCATAAATCTAAATTCCAGCTGTATTTATCCTTATCTTCCTACCACACTTACATAGATGTGGTTTTGTTGGGTAATTACAATGGCATTTTTGAAACAGTATAAAAAGGTTCAGAGGTGGGGCGCCTGGGTGGCTCAGTCGTTAAGCGTCTGCCTTTGGCTCAGGTCATGATCCCAGGGTCCTGGGATCGAGCCCCACATCGGGTTCCCTGCTCCGTGGGAAGCCTGCTTCTCCCTCTCCCACTCCCCCTGCTTGTGTTCCCTCTCTTGCTGTGTCTCTCTCCGTCAAATAAATAAAATCTTTAAAAAAAAAAAAAAGGTTCGGAGGTGGGTGGGGATACTTACATATGTGTCTAATTCAGAAACTCTCACAAGCCACGGCAGGCCACCACCAGCCCTCCTGTGCCTTTTCCCCAACATCCCAGGGGAGAGGGAGGATGTCCTAGGATGGAAAAAGGAAAAACACATACTCCCTTATTCTCATGTTTCCCATGAAAAGATAAGTAGAAGAGGAATATTCCAGCCTCTCCCCACTTCCTCACTTATTAACTCATGAGAGAAATGATTTGTCTGATTGGTGAGTTTTGAGGAAGGACATGTTGGCTGGGCTGGCCCCTTCTGGGTTTTCTTGAGGAGCCAGCCTGGCCATGTGACTCTTACATTCTGGTTTGCTCTTCATGATGTGATAACCCTAGTAGACAGGGTGGTTTTTTGTTTGTTTGTTTGTTTTGCAGGGGGGCAGTTCAACCTGTGGGGAAGGTGGGGCATGGGATTGTTAGCAATCTCTTTGGCCACAGATCTAAAGCTAGAGCTGTAAATCAGTAATAAAGCTGGCATTTTAATCTTCATCTGTTTATCTCTGCGCCTTCATTTTTACATAGTTTAAACTCAGCAATCTCAGTTTGGATCCTTAAAATGCCCAGCAGTGCAGAATGATGAGTTAGGATCATGAAAGTTGCACATTTGCTGCCTTCTTCACCACCACCCCCAATAATTCTATCATATAGTACGTCTGATCAAAGGTTTCTTGGGTTAAGCAGTGAAGGGATTATAGTACAAATATTGGAATCCCAGGAAACAGAAGACACTGGCAGGGAATAGACAGATAATTTGGTGTATGTCTCTGAGTGATGCCTTTAACCTGAAGGAACTTTACCAAAATATAGTGATGGAAAAATCCATACGATTTTGAGGAAACTACCTTTTGGGAGCCTAATAAAAATCCATAACACTGATGTCCATGGAAAGACTCTTCCAAGTAAATCATAGGTCTATCAAACTTAAGGAGAAGCAGTGAAGTTCACATCATTGCAATGGCAAGGTCAAAGCTCAGCAATAATGACAAGGTTATACTCTGAGATAAAGACAGCAGAAGCAGTTGCTAATTGAAGTAACCAGGTGGCAGAAAGCAGCGTTAAATTGAAGGAAAATTTGAACATCTTCTGGGAACCAGTCAAAGGATAGGAGAGAACTTGGAAGCTACTTCTGGTGGCATTAGAAGTCTTAGCCGTATCTTTTTTGTCTGTTTCCTTTGACTGGATTAGCATAAGGGAAAACATTATAGGTTTACCCTGTGAGGTACCTATTCTCCAAAGATGGTCTCCCAGTGAACCATGCCTCCCAGTACTCATGCCTCTATGTACCCCCTGTTCTTGACTTCTACTGGTTATCACAGAATCAATAGAATGCACTGGGATTGATGCTGCCTGGCTTCCAAGGAGGCTAGGTCAGAAGAAGCCTTGCAGCTTCTACCTTGATCCCTTGGAATGCTTTCCCTAGGGCAGCTACCATATGAGACCTTTGATTAACCTGAGACTTCCATGCTGTAATGAAGCCCAAGCTAGCCCCATGGAAGGGCCATGTAGAGAGATATGCCCAGGTAGTACCCAGCTATTCAAGCCATCTCAGCCCAGGCACCAGACATGAGAGAAAAAACACTCTTGAATATCTAGTTGAGTCCTCAGATAACTCCAGTGCCAGCCAATATCTAACTTCAACTGCATTAGAGACCCCAAATCAGAATCACCCAACTGAGCCCAGTAAATGCACAGAATTAAGAGAGATAAGAATAAATTATTTTAAATCACATTTTCTAAAAAGGATTTATTTATTTATTTGAGAGAGAGCATGTTGGAGAGTGTGAGCCAGGGGGGAGGGACAGAGGGAGAAGAAGAGAGAATCCTTACACAGACTTCCCGCTGATTACAGAGCCCAATGTGGGGCTCAATCCCAGGACTCTAACACCATGACTTGAGCTGAAAGCAAGAGTTGGCCGCTTAATTGAAAGAGCTACCCAGGCACCCTAAGAAAAAATTATTTTAAAATCATTGATTGTTTGGGTAGTTATCTATAGCAGCAGATAATTGAAACAGCCTTCACAACATGGGGTATGAAATTGTTTGTAGTAATATCACTGAACTGCTACAGCCAGGAAAGATTCCAGATGGGATTGCAATAAAGTTGGCATCTATGTTTTTACCCAATGGGGGTATCCACTTTCAGTTTGGATTCCAATCATGGAAGTTGCTCTTCCCTCAAAAAGGAGCAAAAGCAAAGAAACTAAAAAACCATCATTCCCATCTGTTGGTCAGGAAAAAAAAGGGCCCTCATTATTGACTGGCAAATAGAGTAATTCTTGGGAAAGTATGTGACCTGTGGAAGGTATTTACAGGGAATCTTTGAGAATTTAAACCTTAAAAAAAAAAAAAGAAATACAAATGTTTAAATCCAATACATAAAATGAATTTGGCACAATTGCAGATGGAAACTAATAAAAACCCTGCAAAAGTAGTAAAGCTCTGACATAAGAATACCCTAGCACAGACCACACTGGGAAAGAAAGACACAGGGCATAACATTAAGTTCAAGAACTTAAGGTTTGGAACCACAGATCGGGTTTGAATCTTGTCACAACCACTTACCAGTAGTGTGATCTTGGTCTAGTAACTTAACCTCCATGAGTTCATAATGGGTAATCTTAGTACCTAATATAAAACCTTAAATGAGTATTAAATGAGATGATAAATACAAAATGCTTATGACCATTTCTAGAACACAGTAGGTCCTTAATATAAAGTAGCAATTGTATTATTTCAAATTATTTGAGTCATTTTTTGTATTTTTGCTTGAATAACGTAAAAGCCTACCACCTAATTAAGGGTTTTTACCAATTTCTTATTGAGGGAAAAACTAGAAGTTCACATCTCACTTTGTAGACTGTTGTATGAACTTGTAAGTCTAGCAGTTAATGCTAGTGAAATAGAAAACCCCTGAGTTTCAATGACTTAATGTAACAGTTTATTTCTTGCTCACTCAGCACCCAAAATGAACACTTCTTATGGGTGAGACTCTTCTTCAAGTGGTGAGTCAGGGACCCATGTTTGTTTTGCTTTGTTATTTTGCCATCTTCAACATGCACTATATCTACTTAGATTGAACCAGGCAGGGGAAGACTATAGAGTATTATTCCATATGGAAGTCTCCTAGGAACCTGGCTTGGAAGTGGCCTATGTCATTTCCACTCTCATTTTATTGACTAGGAATTAGACATATGGCCAGACCTAACTACAAGGGAGTTAGTAGTCTAGCTAAGAGCCCAGGAAATTTGGTAACCAGATAGCAATGTCTACCGCATAAAGTACAGAAACAAAATGACAAGCATATGATAGGAACCAAAAAAAAAAAAGGATAATATATTTTGTGGCAAAATGTATATACTCTGTCTAGTAGGTGTTTTTCTAATCCAAATCATTTTATTGCCAATGTAAAGAATCCTCTAGGGCACCTGGGTGGCTCAGTTGGTTAAGCGACTGCCTTCGGCTCAGGTCATGATCCTGGAGTCCCTGGATCGAGTCCCGCATCGGGCTCCCTGCTCAGCAGGGAGTCTGCTTCTCCCTCTCCCACTCCCCACTCTTGTGCTCTCTCTCTCTCTCTCACTAATAAATAAAATCTTTAAAAAAAATAAAAATAAAAATAAAAAGAATCCTCTAGATCAAGATGTAGATTTGTAGGGCTTAGCTGACATTATCAAGATTCTGGTGCCTAGAGCCAAAAAAAAAGAGGGAAAGAGAGACACACAAGTGACACTTTTAACAGATGGTTGCTTTAATGAGCTTTATTTCTGTTCAGGTGTCCTACATATTATATAAATTCCCAAGTTAAGGGCAACCTAAGTTTTCATGCAAAAAAATCCAAACTATATTTTTTACGCATTTTATCCATTAGTATGTTTCCTCAGCAACTAATTTATTGAAATTGAGATGCCATGTACACTTGAGTAGATCATTCATTCATACATTCAGTATCTTTCATACTTCCAGAGACACAGAAGCTATAAGAGAGAGAATAGAGGACACATTGATCTTAAACTGGTTACAGAGCTGCAAGTTAGATAGACTAGAATATTTGGAAAACAATTTTAGGAAAATTTAAGGTAGAATAGCCTGGTATAAACATGATGACCACGTTTTCTAGGTCAAAATATCAGAACATGTGGTCTGACAATTTCTTGTTATTAATTTGTGAATTTGTTCATATGAAACTTCACAAAGTTGTATTAAATTGGACATTTCACTGACTACATGATGCAGTGACTTCCAGTTTAAAACTTGGGGTCTTTTGTCTAAAGACACTCAGGCAAACTTGAGATTCTTCCACTCCATTTCTATCTCCTTAAGGGTGGTCTAAAACCTCAGGATATAATCAATCAATCAATCAATCAATCAATAAAAACCTCAAGGTATATATCACATAGGTAATGTCCTGGCATGGAGGAGGGGATGTGCTTGTCTTTGTACAGGGCCTCCCTGAGTTGTTCGTTTCACTCTTCTGTTCATTGGCCTCAGTAATTAAAGGGCTCCAGTGACCTTTTTCTCTTGGCTTCTGGGTCCAGCAAGGTCACTTTGCATTTACTACCAACACTGAGTCTCTCCAAGTCAGCTCGTTCAGGCCCCCAGGCCCATCTACTGAGGTAGTTACTTTGCATTTCATGCAGCACAGTGGGCTTTGCAAATGCCCAGCTATATCCTTGGAAGCCCTGTAATGTTTCTTCTGCTCTGAGATTCAACTCTTGCCCAATTTATTTGGAGTTTCTCTCTCTCTCCGCCAACTATCCCCACTCTACACTTTAGGACTTGGCCTAGGACACTGGGCTCTTTCTCAAAGACAATCCATGACGAACCTTAGTCATAGTCACTCAGCTTCTTTCCCACCACCAGCAGGAAAAGAAAATGTACTTCCTATTCTATTTGTGAAGAGATTATTTTTACCATTATGGTGCCTTCTTGGCACTCTGGTTTTCATGCAGGCTGTTCTCTCTCTCACACTTGGCTCTTGATATTAAAAATAAAGCTTTTAGAATTAAAAACAATTCACCAAAAAACCACTTCTGTCTCTCTGACTCTGTTTCACTCCACTCAAAAGTGCTTTGGCTTTCAGACTACT